AAGCATTCAGGTCCTATTCCTTGAATTTTCTAGGGAGACTGAGCATCTCTCTTCTGAGTCTGGAAGATTCTCCCATCTCTCCACTTTCCAATCCCAGTGTCACTGATTGTTAATATTTCCTTGCACACTACTTACTAAGGAAATGGCCTTTAATGCCCCACATTGCTGGTGTCTGTTATGATCACCTAGAGATCTCTCTAGCAACCATCTCCGTTAGCATTTCTCTAATCGAGGGGTCACAAAGCAGCAGCCTCTTGACAAGAACCTGCTAAATTTGGCTCCGCTTTTGCAGTTAAAAAAAAAAAATTGAACCACTGGTACAATAGGGGGATTTCACATAAATATTTTGGTAACCCTGGTCCATTTGTATTTATCCCTAAGCAGAAGCAAGAAACTCATCACTGAAAACCCAGGTCTGGCCCTCTCTGGTGGCGCAGCGGATTAAAACACAGCACTAAGAAGCTAAAGCCAACTTCAGCATGAGTTTGATCCCCGCCCCACCCTGGAGGTGAACCAAAGGGCACAACAGACCTCTCCTCACCAGCCCGCTGCCCCCCTCAACAGTGTACTTCGTCAGTCGGCCTGTTCTGCTCCCCACTCTGCCTCTGGTGAATCCTCTCACCGCCCCTGCATCTCTGGCCTGTATCCCAGCTCTGTATGCATAAATAAATAAATCTTAAAAAAAAAAAAAAAAAAAAAGAAAAGAAAACCCAGGTCACTTCTCACAGCTCTTCTTGCCTCTTTCCTATTCCAGGTATTGTCAAAATTACCTTACAAACCAACCAAATTTCAAACTGAATTGAACGTCCTCCTTACTTTTCATCCTCACTAATTTCTAATTCTGCTTTAGTAACAGCCAGAAAAACTATGAGGAAAGGCTTAAAGAGTTTGTGTATTTTAGTACTTTGCTCTTTTTCTGAGTTTTTATAACTTGATTCTTAATTATTTTAGTACTAACATATTTGGATGCAATCTGGGGGGAAAAAAAAGGCCTCTACTTCTTATTATAGTTCTGACATCTAGCTTATAACTATGTTGCTCAAATATATATATTGATTTCATGACATATTCCATGTTGTGCTAAATAATTCGAAAAACTACATTACCAAAGTGATTTAAGTCAGAAGAGATGAATGGCTTTTTCGAGCATGTTAAGGTACTAATGCAATATTTTTGGGGAAGCAGTAAAATGCTCCCTAATAAGCACTCATTCAGTATGTAAAGTATGTAGGTAATACTAAAATGAAATCTTTCAAAATTTTATTTAAAAATGTTCCTTTCGATAAAGTTTCTGCAGTAAAATATACATCATATTGCAAAGATTTCTTAGCCAAATACAATTTCTTCCTGAAAACATGATCTGAAACTTTTAATATGGTAAATAAAGCTCCTCCACTATATTTAGCATTTCCTTCTGAAATATTACATATATGGAGGAGAAAGACACATACATATATATTTCTTTCCCTTAATGTTAAAATACTATTTTGATCTCTGAGAATAAATTAAGTATCCTTCCACACAGAGTCCCAGATTTCTATAGGTTTTCTGTGAAAAATTTCTTTCCTGTTTCTAAATATTCCTGTCTTCTAACACATATTTATATTTATCTGAGGGATACAATGATATACAGTCTAGACTTTATTTCAACCATATATAGTGACACAAATATACTGAATTTTCACTTGCACAAAGGGAATGGATCAACAAAGCAAAGTAAAAAAGCATTTAACATCTGAGCTTTTATAAATCTAATCATTGTTACCATTTTGGTTTTTATTCAGGTTAGCATACTCATTTTGAAAACTGGACGGATCTGTAAGTATTAAAAAGTGCCAGCCATACTCACAGTGTAGCAGGATAACAACAGGAAGCAGGGTGAAGCGACAGACCTCCTACTGTAAGTGGGTTTAAAGGGTGTAGCCCTGGAATTGTCCTCTTAACACCAGTGACCACCATCCAGTATTATATGGCACCATGAAAAGCCCCATATTTCATCTAAAATACTATGTCAGTATTTTAAGACTAGGAGAAGTGCCAAATATACTACCGCTCTCTTGGTTATTTCCTCTTGTGCTCAAATGACATACATACTAACACACGGCAAGAACTTTTAGCAAAAATTTCTAGCACTGCTTGGCCTTGGAATGTAGAATCACAGTGTTATTCACTACAATGGAACAGAAGTTGGGGGCCATTTTTGCTAAAAACAATGATTTTTCTGCTGCATTCTGCCTTCAAGAATTAAAGGATTTGTGTACAGTGAAGGAAAGGAGGAAAAAAGAAGAGGGGTTGAATGTTACATTTTTAAAAATGAAAAAAAAATGTATTTAAAAATTAAACATTCACATGCACTTAAAAAGTAGTTATGCAAATTCTGTACCAGGTTTTATGTTGGGTGCATTATGTAGATTATCTGTAGTGTTGATCACTGCAACACTAAAGCAGGTATTACTATCTCTGTTTTACTGAAGCCTTCATAATGCACAGGATTTTCTTTTATAGAAAAAAGCAAATGGGATGATGGGTGCATAGATACTGCCTATAGGAAAGCAAGTCCTGACTGAATAGAAAAGAAACTGAGAAAACATAATAGTGATGAGGATGATGAAACATTAAAAATAATGTTGGCTCTTGGCCAAGCTCTGCTCTAGGCTGGCTCATGTCACACAACAATCCTCTGAGATAGGTCCTACCACCATCCTCATGTAGTCAGACTTCAGGACACAGACACAGAGCTTGTGTTCCCTGAGATCACACAATGTAACTGGAGATACCATGACCTAAACCAGCTCTGGCTCCACATTCCATGACCAGAACCACTAAGCTAGCAGGACTCTCATAGAAAGAGTCAACTGGAAAGACCACTGGGGACAATCACAGGAAAGGCTATTTTATTCATAAGGTTACCAGTTGGGTGGTGTTTCCATCCTATGACTGTCCATAGATGCTTTGAACAGTTAATTTTTCCATCTGCTCAGTGGGCTTGGTTTAATGAAGTTTTTTTCTGATTGTTACTAATGCTTTTGAACTCATTAAGTGGAGGGGTTTAGTCAAGAACTACAGACAGAAGGACTTCAAATCAATATTTAATCCTAACTCATGTTTATCTATAAAATTAGAAATGATATAATAGGGTGAGCTTATTATCTATCCTTTCTTGTGTGTGACTTAGAAAAATAACTTGTTTCTTTCAAATACGTTGCAAGCTCACATCACAGAACACTTTCTTAGGAAAGGCACATGCAGTACGTTTGTGTGCAATGACCTTGACTCACTTTCCCCGACTTCCTGTGACCACCTCCCAGCTCCTTCTAGCAGCGAGCAGAGTGGAGGCCCAATACCATGGAAACAGGCATCTTTTTACATGTACTGAAGACATCCCATATAAGTGCACTTAGACTACAAATCAAAGAAAACAGATAAATAGATAAAAAACAGATAAATATAAAGTTTATTTTAAACCCTTCCTGTTTTTTTGTTTTTGGCCTCATGTCTCCTATCAACGTTTTTCTTTCGTACTGTACACAGCGACCAAGCAAATGGTGAGTTGGCGGATGGGCACCCGGATGGCAGCGGCCCAAGCACTAAGGTGGTATGTCCTGAGCACTGAGTCGAGTTTACCTGTTAGTCAGTTCTAACGAACAGATTGTCTCTCTGGTTTCAGAAATAGTGATTTTATCATAATAGACAGGCAGAGTTATCACTAATCTGCCCAGAAGCTATGAAAAGCAGGCCCCTTCGCCAGCGCTCAATGGAGATTTTATGTAGAGATTGAAAGGCACTACAGTTGCTTGACTTGAAAATACACAATCACCTTTCCAAGTTTTTTTTTTAGAGCTGATCAGAAAAATTCTTTTAATCCTAATCAATCATCTGCTGTTTACTTTGGCAAGTTGGGAGTTACAGGAAAACATCTGCAGGGTGCAGACAGTCCTCCTAGCTTGTGACACTGACTTCTTTGTGACTGTTCAATATGGAAAAACCAAAAGAGATAATTTGATTTTCACAAAGAATCCCCCAGAGAAAACTATTATTTGTTCATATAAGAAATACTTTAACGTTTGATAAATAATTTTTGTTATTATTTTCCTAAAAAAGGGCGCAGAATCCCAACAACAGAGAGATGGCAGAGCCCCAGGTACAGATCTCTCACTAAAAACAGAGCTGATGCCAAGTTTCTCATTCCCCTTGAGGATGCTTAATAAGTGTGCCGCCTGAAGTTCCTTTCTTTTCTTCCTTGGTTGATTTACCTCTTGGATACATGAAGTACATTTCTTATCAGCACTCACTTGTGCCTACCTGAAAATAAGGAGGCCAACCATACACACGCATACGGGAGCCAGCCAGTGGAATGCTGTGAACAAAGCAGTTCTGTACTTGCAACAGATTTTGGTTTCTGCAAAAATGTTACTTTCATCCTTTCAACCACAGTCAAACCGGAGTGGAGCAGAGCTGCACCCACGGGTGCACATGTGCACACTCATCTAGACTTGTGACAGGCTACGCAGCTTTCCTCCCTAACTATACTGCCAGCGCCTGTTCTTGGGGAGCTGTCCTCCCAGAGGACACTGTTTCTGCTCCTCAAACTGCCAGACTGCTAGCAAGCAGAAGACAAGCAAGTTCTAAGTGCTTTGCATCTGTACACAGAGATTCTTAAACACCTTACCAAGTGGTCTTTATTTACGTTCTCTCAGCTTAAGATAAACAAGCCTGTCCCAAGCAAAAAGGTTCAAACGTCCTTTCCTAGTTCTTTTGCCCTCTTGGTGGTACTGCTAACACCAAAGTAAACAGTACTGAGCTAGTATGACCCAGTTTTGTGCCTACAATATGGTGACAGCAGAAGCAACAGGATGCAAAGTTAAGAATTCAGAGAAGTGAACAGGCTGAAGCAAGAGGCCTGAAAATCTTGGACAATTATGCTTGCAAACTGTTATAAGAATGCCTCATTATCTTATAATTAAATTTGCCTGAATGACTCCATTTATTTATATCTATACCTGGTAAATCAGAGAAGAGAAGGATGCACTCATTAAAGCCATTAGCCAAAAGCCGGTCTCGTAGCTGCTGAAGAATTGCCACTCCAATGCAGAATGGGAAAGAGGAATTCCCAAGCAGTAAGGTATCCCAGAGGTGGAAAATTTTGTGCAGGGGAAATACATCTGAAAAATGATAAAACATTAATTATAATTAAAAAGCCAAAACACTATAAAGCAATAACCAGCTGCTTTACTAGACACATGATGATTACATTATGGTCAAAACTATTGTCCAGACATGTTACTTGTGAATAGACTTTGTCAATTTATCTAAGAGCAAATACACTAAACGGCTACAAACTGTCCATTTGGTTGTGTAGATTTATTGTTACCTAAGTTACCTTCAAAGAATTGATAATCATATTGACCAAATAAATGACATTTTCTACCCTACATTATCAATCTTGGTACATACATTGTTCTACTCACTGTATTGCTTCCTAAAGTTTTCCAGTTACATTATTTTCATCGGCTACATTATTCTCAATAGATGAACCACAGTACGTTTTTAGATTCAGTATCATTTTATTTGCATCTTAAATAATTGCTATTTATAATCTGTTTGCTTTCTGGAGGAATTCTAGCTTAGGGAAACTAACGTATTGGTTATCAGACAATCTCTTCAAAGTGAAACCTGATTTGGATTATATACTATAATGTTAATGTTAAATTATCAGAGGGCAGAGATTTGATGAATGTCACTATAGCTGAGATACATATACATTTTTTAAAATATTCATTAGTCAGACAACTATTGATAAGTATTTTTAACCTAATTCTATTAAATAGAATTATATAAAAATGCATATGTAATGAAATTTGCTCAATATTACTATAAATATAACATACTGGGGAAGAGGAGCTGCTATTTTAAATGAAAAAGAAAAATGATACTTACGAGTGAACATAGTCAGAAACCAAGGGATGGCATAGAGCTAGGAGTAGAAAAAGAAAGGGGTGTGTGGGTTGGGAACAGAGGAAAGAAAAGATGGTCAGAGTAATTGCCAATAAACTGAATGGTAAAAAAAATGTTCAATGTGTTGGTCTACCCCATTTGATTAAAATGAAGCACAATGTAGGTAGTTATATTATCACAAATATTCAAAGAAATAGTGATATCTATTACAAATACTGCAGACAACCCTTTTGCTAGGGCTTATTTCACAGGATGTTTCATCCCACTGAGGATACACTCAAGACCCACTCCAATCCAAACACGATATTTGATACTAATTTCAAGGGTGTACTTTTCAAGTCATCCAAGAATATCCCTGCGATTTTAATTGCCCTCATCAATGTGGAGCTATCCTTTGAAAACTGATCAGCTGGTACTTGAAAAGACAGCACAAAAAGCTGTTATGAAGCCTATACTTTCTGCTACCACTTTCTAAATTGAGGAACATTCATACGAGACCAAAAGTAATATGATCTAAGAATGCAAGAGTTTGGTTCTGTTTTCTAAATTTAAGTTTAGGAAGGAAAACACACCACTTTTAATTTCTTGAGATTTTGGAAATGTTAAATCATTCTTAGTTTCTAAAAGCAGAGTAAAATCTCCTTTGTCAATAGGAAGCAAAAATCAACAATCTACTAAAAGCATCTGAAAAAGTTCTAACTTTATTTTATACTGTTGGTATAACAGTCTTTTTGAAAAATATTGATTCTCTTCATTCATGAGCACAGAATACCTTCTCATCTAAATCCTTAATATCTTTCTGTTTTCATTCTATCAGCCCTTTACCTACTTGGGTAAGCTAATTCCTAGATGCTTAGGAGCCATTCTTGACTTCCCTGTCTCCCATGTTCTAATGACATGTCAGCAGCAGTTCAGCTGAGTGTATCTTCAAAATACATCCAGAATATGAAAATGTCTCACTACCCCTACTGCCAAATTCCTGGTTCAAGACTCCATCGTCCTGCCTAGACTGTTGCAATAACCCATTACTAATCCTCTAGATTCCATTCTTGCCCTCTATGGGTTTCTTTTACCAAGGCAGCCAGAATCTTTATTCAAATGTTTACATCAGAACATGTCATTCTTGTGCTCAGCAGCATCCAAGGACAGTGAGTCACAGCCCTGCCTAGGACCTGCGGCTGCGCACGACCTGCCCCGCCTCCGTGACTGCCTCCCTATTTGCTGTGCTTGGGCCAGTTCTCTGGCTGCTCCTGCAACATTCTGGAGCCCCGACCTCAGGGCTATAGCACTGGCTGTTGGCCGGTGTGGACTGCTTTTCCCCCTCAAATTCCCCTCACCCCTTTTTTTTTTCTGTGAGGCTGCCTCATTTGAAACTTAACTTCTTCTTTCACCTGAGCACTGAACATCCATGAAGATCTTTATTTTTTTTTCTTTTTCATACTTACAGCTCACTACCTAACACATAGCATACTGTTTATCCTTCACCAGAAAATAAGTTAACAAGGGCAGAGATTTTGTCTATGTATTTTTTTTTCTGCTGGAGCTAACCAGGGCCTACCAAAATGTGTGGCAGAAAATAGGTATTTGAGTATTTGAGAAAACTAGCTAATCTCCCTTGGCTAATATAGAAAAATTCTTCATATAATATAGTAGAAAGCATTGAAAAACTTTAAAGTGGAAATACTGAATCATTTATCTATAATTGGACAACAATTATAAACTATTGAAATAAATGAAGCATATTGATATTTGAAAGGCAATAATTCAAGCTGAATACATTAATTTAATGTATAACAACTCCCACATATTTACCAGCACTCATCACCTTTTACCAATTGGATTAAGTCAGGAAAAAAATAGCCAATATGTTCTGTGGGTGAAATGCCTGCCTTTAAAAAGTCTTAACGGATATTTTCATTTGAAATAATTTCTTAGATAGTAGAACATCTCATAATATAGCATGATACTTAGGTAACTAAGACAGCCAGTAAGATAATTTTGAGCAGTAGGCTGGGTCATGTTTTAATTTTAAAAAATAACAATTATACCATGAAAGATTTAATACAAATATAAAAACATATAAAATTAGTCTTATTATATTAGAGATATTATTAGGTACTTCCTCATTTAAAGCTGGAAATTAAAACCTAATGAAAAGAAGTCACACATACTTCAACTATTTTTTTCCAGATCAGGAAATTATGATTTAGCTTGGTAGGAGTCTTCTCAAAGTCAGCTGAGTAAATACTGCCCTCTAGCAATCTCAAGAAAGAACAGTAATAGTTAGCTTTTCATGAGCACTTTCCAAGAGGTTTGGTAATGTCAAAATGAGAAACATCAGTGGAAAAAACAACAAAGAAAAAGAGATCATTAACTTGATATTAAAGAGTACAAAATTATGTCTCAAAAGACCTTTATATAAAGGTCTAAAATGAAAAGATCAAAAAGGAAAAAAAATTATAATATAATCTTTTTTGTCAAATAATTTTGTCAAGTACATTTTGTATTTATACACACATTGCTTCTCTCCCCTCTGTTATTACTGTTAAGGAAGTCCCTTCAAGTTGTCTTTATTAACCTCCTTTTTAATGAACATACTGTATTTTCTCTTTAGCTCAAGTGAGATATGCTTTTATATTTAAGTTATAATAGCCACCACTGTAAAACACTGATTGGCCATCAGGTTAATGCCTTGAGATAATTCTCAGCATTACAACAATGTACATCTACTGATTGCAGAAAAGGATTCCTAAAAAACAGCAGGTTTCAAAGCAGCAGAGACTGTCAAATATTTTCTTCAAATATTTTCTTGAAACTTGGAATCTCTGGAATTTGTGATCTGGTAGCAACATACATCTTTTAAAGTTCAGGAAATTTATGAAAATTAATTAATGGATATAAGACACTTGGCAAATGTGGCATGTATCAGACATCATGTAGGAATTACAATGATCATGCTTAGTATCAATCCAGAAACTTCTACATTAGGAAAGGATTTCAATAGCTCAAAGTTCTGAAGTGACCTCATGAAGTAATCTAATAAAAGAGTAAGGATTTTTAATAGTTATTTTTAACTATGTCTACATTCAGTTTCTGAAGATTTTTAAAATGACTTAAACATATAGAAATAACTAAAAAGACCCACTGCACCCAAATAGTAAATAGTCAAATTCCTTTTCTTTGTACCAAAGGTTATATTACTAACCCCTAATGATTTCACAAATACTGAAAATAGGATGAAATAAAAAAAATAAGCAACTGCTGAAACATACCTTTCTCTTTGTATTCTTACTTAAAATACTGAACTTAGGAACTCAGTTACAAAGTAGAAACTGAAAATAAAATTTTTTTGATCATTTAATGGTCTGAGAAGCACATTAGTCACTTGACAATTATAGAATTAGCTATATTTCCAGAGTACCTTTCAATTATCTCACTAAACAGCAAATACAAAACAGAAAACTTTTTGAAAATTTCAGACAGAGTTACTTTCATTTACTTTAAGCAAAGAATGCTTAGAGTAAAACTTACATGGTATATACCTCTTTATGGGAGTTATAAAAGTACTTTAAAAAATCAAACAAATGAAGCATTAAAATTTGAAGTCGCAATCTCACCAACTCAAATAATAAAGTCTATATTGTCATTAGTATGATAACTCTTCTGGCAAAGTAGTCATTAACCAAGGCAACAAAACAACATATCTACTACAATTTGTAAATACTGCTTTTCAAAGTGTAAATTGTATTAATATAAGCAAGGAAATCATATAAGATGATCATATTAATGTTAATGAAAAAATAGCACCACCAATAATTCCTAACCCTTAAGCCTTACTGTGTACCTAGAACCGAACACCTTATAAGTCATACCTCAATTAAGAGTTATTACAATCAACATGAACAGGAAGAAGACTCTAGGTAAGAGAAACGAACTCAACTAAGGATGTAGCTAGAAAGCTGACAAGTGGAGAGAAAAACCCTGTCAATCTGGCACCAGTATCCGTGTGCTGCTGTCAAACGCCAGCATCTGCAGGGTGTTCTCCCACAGCGTGGGCACCAGGACCCTGCAGGGGTCCGCAAAGAAAGCTCTTGTCACCACACTAAGCTGTTCTTTGTACTTTTTCATCCTGCTAGCACTTACCTAAATGGCACCAAATCGCAGGTGGGTCATACTGTAGGCAACTATCTCCAATCAAGGCAGTGGCACTAATATGTAATACTCATATTCTTGTAAAGGAGAAGTATTAATTTTAATCACGATTTTTTTAAACGTGCCTTTACACAGGTGCCTTTCCTAAGGAACACCATTTGGACTTGAAAAAATAAATAAGATCAATGATTTTTTTTTTCCCACGCTCGCAATATCTGGCAGACATATGGTGAAAATGAATGAAGTGAGCTTGTCACCTTAAGCAAAAATCTAGTTGTCAGGTGAAGATCAGAAGTTTGGAAACCCTGTGTGTCACTGGGGGCATGGCAGCACCCCAACTCTGATTAGCGAGGTGATGACAGTAATGCGATTTTTTTTTTTTAAATATTGTATAATGAAATGATCCAGAGTTGAAAGATCTGCAAAATTCGGTGACTCCACATTTTCCCAATGGCCAATGTGCGATGCAGCAGTGTGGACAGGTTGTGGGCCTGGCTCCAGATAGTACGTGGCCACCAGGATGTAAGCAGAGACTGGGAGGCCACGCCGAGGCAGTCTTCCACCAGGATCACATCCAGAAGCAGGTGGGACTTGTTTCTATGAAGTAGCGATTGTAAAAGTATCAAACAACATCACTCACGCATTATTCTTTTTTTTTTTGGCTTTTCAGATAAATATGTGATTTGGTTAACATGCAATGGTTTCATTACTGTCCTTAAAAATAAATTAATAATAAATATGTTCTAAATGTCTCAGTAAAAAATGATAGGTATAGTCCACATAAGAAACTTTCTGGGATTGTTGATAAATTTTAAGATGTAAAGGGGTCCCAAGAACAAAAATATTTGAGCACTGATGCATTAACTT